AGTGAACTCTCGGTCTTCCTTCCAAACAAATATACTTCCCTGTGGTCTTTCTCATCTCAGTTAATAGCTAACCCATCCTTCCAGTCGCTTTAATCAAAATATTTTGAAATCACCCTTGACTTCTCTTATTCTCTTACACCTTTCTTCTATTCCAGCAGGAAAATACTGTTGGATCTATCTTCAAAATACATAAAAATTCAATTATTTCTCATCACCAATACCATCCTGGCCAAGCCACCATCATCTCTCACCTGCATGATTGTGTAATAAGCACCTAACTGGTCTCCCTGTTTCGTCCTTTCCTTCTTTCATCTATTCTCAACACCGCAGTCACAGGGCTCCCATTAGAACCTGAGTCAGGCTCTGCCACTCCTGTTCCAAACCTGCCATGGCACCATCTCACTCAGAGGAAAAACTAGTGACCACTATGACCATAAGGTCCTGCTGATAAATTACCACCCCATTACTTCTCTGACCTGTTTCTACCTCTTCCCGTCTTCACAGACTCTGCTCCAGCCACACTAGCCTCTTTGCTGCTCTTCCAACATGGACACTTCTGCCTCTGCCTCCAAAACTCTATGCCCAAAAATATGTTTAATTTACCCTTTCATCTCCTTTATTCAAATGCCATTAACCTCCGACCACCCCATCACTCCTGCTTGCCCTCCCCACCTCATCTTTCTCCACTGAGCTCACCACCATCCGACCTATAATGGGCTTTCTTATCTTGTTTGTGATCTGTCTCCTCTACTAGAACATGCATTCCATGAGGATAGGGACCTGGTCTTTTCTGTTCACTGCTGCATCCCCAGCACCTAGAACACATTCTCAAGTGAATGACTGACTGGCTGACTCAAGGAATGAAATCAATGAATGTCCAGACAAGACGTACTCCAGTCAGAGCCATCCCTGGGCAGGCCATCATCAGTAACAGGCCCCCCTGACCCGCTGGCATGCCCCAGTTTTCTCTATGGGATGCCCGGGCTCTCTCACAACTGCAGCAGGCACATTGCTCATTTGTATCTGTCAGAGGTGGCCCACTCTCTGCCAGACCAAACATGTTTGAAAGGTCTCTTGGGGTCCATTATTAAATAGTGAAAGAAGCACTGATCCTCTAAGCCTCCTTTCCAGGGGAACCCAGGCTAATAACAGCTTTGCCAGGAAACCTCCAGAGGGTGACTGAGCCCACTCGCGAGTGCCTGTGCTTGCCCAGACATGTCTGCCACTAACCCCTAGGATTTCTGCATTTCCTCTATACTTCTGGTAGAAAGGAGATAAGCATCTTTGATGAAGGTTCTCGTTTAATTCTTGCAAGTTCTTCAGCGCACAGACTGAGAAGTTTGATAGACGCTGAGGGGGTCTAGAGGAGGGGCGAATCTGTGTTCTATGTGGGATTCTGCAAAGGGTCCTCATTCTGAGCAAGCACAGAGAAAGGGAGAGATAGAGATAGAGACAGAGAGATGAGATAGACAGACACAGAGATAAAGATGAGAGATAGAAACAGAGACAGAGATAGGGATAGAGGTGGAGATAGAGATAGAGATGATAGAGATGAAAAAGAGATAGAGACAAAGAGATAGAGACAGAGATGGAGAAGAGAGCAGGATCTGTGCTTGGGTGGGGGAGCTAGTACACTGAGTGCTGGTAGACCATGGGTGACACTGTCCTGCATGGGCTGGGACAAAGCATGACCTTTGGGATCAGAACATCAGCCTTCATCTCTCAGCTCTGCTCCCTGACTAGCTGTGTTGTCTTGGACAAATTACTTAGACTCTTTGACCCATAGTTTCTCTTCTTTCTTTCTTTGATTTATTATTTTTTATCTTTTCTGTGGTGAAATATGCACACATCCAGAAAAGTATTTAAAGCATATATATACAAATAAAAACATTATTGCAAAATGAATACCTGTATAACTATGATTACCATCCTGACTTTTATGTCCTTCATTTCTTTGCTTTCTTTATATTTTGGCTGCCTCATTATCTAGCTATACGTAATATAGTGTACCTCTGCCCTGTTTTTCAACTTTATATAAACGGAATCGGAAAGCACGTAATTGGGCTTCCCCAGTCCCACAGTATGTTTTCAGGATTTAGGCATGTTGGGAAGAGCTGTAGCTAACTCATGCTCACTGGTGTGAGTTTTCTGTTGTAAGAATGAATCATATTTACTTACCCGCTGTATTGCTGTTAAGCACTTGGTTGACATCAGGCCATCAGAAATAAGGCTTCTGTGAACATCTGACGTGTACAAACCTCCTGGCATACCTGTGCACATGTTTCTTTTTGGGACAGGTCTAGTAGTGGAAGCGCTGGGCCATAGGTGGCATAGCACTGACTTTTGCAGATACTGCCAAACTACTTCCCTAGCAATACATGCAAGGGTCTGCAGGTCTCTCTCTCCTCATCACTGCTTGGAACATGCCTTCTTTTTCATTTGGTCATCTTGGTGGGTGAGTAGAAGGATCACGTGTAGTTTAGTCTGCATTTTCCTGACTACTGAGGAGACTGAGCACCCTTGCTTAGGTTCACTGGTCATGGGGATTTCTTCTTTTGTGAAGTGCCTGTGCAAGTCTCTTGCCTATTTCCACTGGCTTGTCTGTCTTTGCCTTATTGGTTTGTAGGAGTTTGAGGTGCAAGTCATTTGATAGTTCCAGGTGTAGCAAATACCTTCCTATAGCTTGTCCTTTAATATTCTTAATCTACCTTTTAAAGGACAGATGCTCTTCATTTTATGTAGTATAATTTGTTAATCTTTTCCTAAAAGGTTAATGTCTTTTTGTAACTTATTTAAAAAAATCTTTCTCGGGGCAGCTGGTAGCTCAGTTGGTTAGAGCACAATGCTCATAATACCAAGGTTGCCAGCTTGATCCCCACATGGACCTCTGAGCTGTGCCCTCCACAACTAGATTGAAACAACTACTCGACTTGGAGTTGGGGCGGCTGGTTAGCTCAGTTGATTAGAGCACAGTGCTCATAACACCAAGGCTCCCAGTTTGATCCCTGCATGGGCCACTAAGCTGTGCCCTCCACAACTAGGTTGAAACAACTACTTGACTTGGAGCCGATGGGTCCTGGAAAACACACTGTTCCTCAATTAAAAAAAAAAAATCTTTCTCTACCCAAGATCATGATGATGTTCTCCTTTCCCTTATCTCAAAGGTGCTACCTGACAAAAAACAAAGTCTAGCTGCAAGACAGTCTGCTTCTGAGCTCTATTCTAATCCACCAATTCACTTTCAACCACCCTGCACCAATGGAAGCCTGTGGAGGCTGCAGAAATCCTTGGGTAGACGTGGGTCTTCCTGGGCCACTAAATTGAGGTAGTGGGTCATTTCTGCTGCAATCATCAGGGGACAGGAAGGACATGGCTCACAGTGTGAGGCCATTTATGAAGCCCAGGAGAAAAACTTTTTCAAAGTTATATCGACTCTTCTACATGAGAGGTTTGTGGTTCTATAAAAGGTGGTCAGGAACTCCGCAGCCAAGAACAAGAGAGGGGATCTGGTGAGGTGAGGAGTGAAGGAAGGGGCTCAGTCTATAGGTCATGCAGGATCTAGAGACGGACTGCGAGGCCCCCAAAGGCGAGCTTCTGCCTCTGCCTGGCCTGGGCACCAATCAAACACTGTGTGGGGACAGAGAGGACGCACATGACTCCCTCCTATGGTCAGAACCCAGCCAGCCTGAAAGCTCTGGTCTCTACATTCAGCAGGGAGTTGGTGGCCCCAGCCTAGCTGTGGTGACCCCTTCTAAAAGCTGTTTTCACGATGATTTCATAGGGACACTATCTACTGAGAGCACCACACAGCTGAAGTCATCTTTCCTTTCTCTTATACCTCATGACTAGACCATGAGCAAAACCCCACAGCTCCAGCTTCAGAACACATCCACGGCTCACATGCTTCACTGTCCCCTCCACTCCTACACCAGCCTATGCCCCTGTGGCCTTTGTCCCAGACTGTCCCAGCCTGCTGCATCCACTCTTGTCCCTCTATGGTCCAACCCTCACATGGCAGCCAGAGGGCTCCTTTTATAAATCTAAATCAGGTCATGACTGTCTCTTGCTCAGAGCCCTCCCTGATGCCCCTTCAATTTAGAACAAAATCTGAATGAAGTGCCCACTGTGTCCCCACGGCCTCAGTGACCTCTGTCACCTCTGGTCCTCTACTCTCCCGTCCTTACTCCCTCACAGCCACCGGCCTTCCTGAGATTCCATGTTCTAGTCACTCACTCAGTCCCACCTCAGGGCCTTTGTACTGGCTGGTCCCTCTGCTTGAATGAATGCTCTTCCCCCAGCATTCCCCTGGCGACGTCGTTGAGCTGGCTAGGCTGCAGACTCAAACACAACTTCCCCTCTACCCTCCCACTTAGCTTTATTTTGCTCACTGTGTTTCTCGCTACTGGACACCACGTGACATGTTTACTTGTTGACTGTCTGTCTCGCACAGGACAATAGAGGGGAGGAGAGGGGGTAGGCATCATTTACTTTGTTTACCACTAAGTTCCTCATGTCCAGAACACAACCCGGTACATTTTAGGCACCCAATCAATAAGTGTTTTGCATAAAGGAGGAAGTCAGTAAATGGGAATTGCAGCTTTTGTATCAGGGACAGGGAGCGGGTTTTGTAGGCAGCGCAAGGGCCCCGTGTGGCTGCAGCAGGAAGGACGCTGAATCTGGGCATCTGCTACAACCCCTGAGAGCCCACTTCTGGCCTATGTGCAGACCACCTCACACACCCCCAGTTTCCAGCAGGGGTCGGATGCCGAGAGGCAAGTACGCAAAAGCCACAGGGCTGTCTGGTTGGAGGAGGGCGTGTGTCTGAAAAGTGGCCCTGAGTCCCCTGCCAGGGCTGGCTTGGTCCACCTAAGGGGCGGCTCTTGAGGGCCTGCTGCAGAAGAGGGTGACAGTGCCTGCATGCCATAAGATGCACGGGCACAGTCGGGGAGCCCTGAGCAGAGGAGTCCTGCAGGCCCAGTGAGGGGGAGGGGCATGATTACCTGGAGGCAAAGGTTCTACAGGGTGAGCATGCGGGCTACGGGCAGTACCTCCACCAAATGGGGCCCAGATGACCCGGCGGATGGCCTGCACCCAGTCCTCCACATCACGCTGGGAGCTGGCCATGAGCAGGAGCGCCTCGGGGTTGGCCGGCACCTTCTCCCGCTCCCCGGCACCACCTGGAAGACAGGGAGACACAGGCTTACCGCAGGGACCCGTGTGCAGAGAAAGGGTGCCCTCCCCACAGCACTCTCTCCAGCCCCAACACCAGTTAACTCTTCATTCCTTGAGCTGGGAGAAAGCCCTCTCTCCAACACCTTTCAGCAACAGCCTGCTTTGTGTTCTATTTTTGCAGCCCATCTCTTCCACACCTCACACGTCTGTCTTTGGGGCACTATCCAGTTTCCCTTTTCTCCCTTAGTCTTATTATTTTTCCATATTAAATCAGAAATCATTCAAATCATCCTGGGGCACTTATTAGAAAAAAGCATGCAGATCTGAGGCCAGCTTAAAGTTCAGTACCCAGAGTAAACATTCCAGGATGCTGCACCTGTCCCCACTCACAGCTAGGCAGTAGATCCTTCTCTAAAGGCAGAAGGATGGGAAAGCTCAGACAGCTGTTTGTAAACTGACCTTTCCCTACAGTAGCTCCAGTGGATCTCACGTTTTCATCTGTAAGTGAATTAATCTTTCGTGTGTGAATGAATTATCTTTGGGATGTATATAAAACCATTTATACTGAACTTCATAGGCAATTTAAGAGATTTTCTAGAACGATCTTGTCTTTATGCACCCCCAACATCCCATTATATGTAACTTCCCGATGTACTCGCCTAAGGTCCCAGAGCCTCAGATCTTAACCAAGACGGTCTGCTGGTGAGTGAATCCCAGGAACCCATGTTCCCAAGGGGGTGGGATGGCAGTGGGGAGAACTGTGACACCAAGGATGATCCTTGCTGGAGCCTGCAACCCCAGGATGGAGACCAGACAGGAATAAGTGCTTATTGAGTGTTTGGTACCTGCCTGGGACTCTTCTAGAAGCTGCAGACACTTAAATGAACAAAGCTGACAGACACACCTGCCCTCTTAGGATACTTTAATCTTCACAGTGACTCTGTGGGAGGTACTGTTACTTTTTGTATTTCACAGACGAGAAAACTGAAGCACAGAGTGATTAAGGAACTTGTCTAAACTCACACAGCGAATACACAGTACAGTCAGGGATTCAAAGTCTCCAGCTCTGGGCTGTGGGTTCTGACCCACCCCATGCTCTTGCCATGCCCCACAAATGAGGCGGCCCACTGGGGTTGGGCTGATAGTGGTCACAGCAAGGCTGATGGGAACTGGGGACACTGATGAGGCTGCTCTGAGGGCTGGAGCATGGAAAGGGGTGTGTCCTTACAAGGGGGCCCCGGAAGCAAGGCCTGGAGGCTGGGTAATGGGGAAACAGGCTGGAGAGGCCTGTGGGTCCCAAAGCTCAGGAGGGTGATGAGCAAGGAGACAAGACTGCCAGGACCCGAGGCTGCCCCATGGAGCCCCTCACTACACACACAGCCCCGATCCTTTGGGTCCATGCAGCTACTGGGCAGAGCTGCAGAGGAGGCGAGGAAGGGAACTTGGGGCACAGGCAGCAGAGCCTGAAGCCCAAGAGGTGGTGTGGATCTGCTGAGGGGCTGCACCCACAGCTCAGGTGGCTGCCGGAGTTACCCACGGAGGTGTGGACAGTGGCTCTGCATCTTTAAGTTCCCACATCACGTGGATTTTAAGGGCTGGGATGGCTGAGTGTTCGGCCGGTGGAGGTGGGGGCAGCTGGATGCCACCAGGAAGCTTTTCTGCATAAGCTTTTCTGGAAAAGAGTCTCAAGATGACTTAGGAGAAAGGGAGCTGGAGGTCAATGGCTCCAAGAACTTGTTGTGGTTACTTGTTTGTCCTGAATGAATACTCAGATTTGTACCTAATTTGAATTTCTAATTTTTCACTTCTTTTTCTTAATGAGGGCCACACAAATCATATAAGCTTCATATAAACTCCTCTACCAAAACATGCATCTGCCCTGCCCAGATGTTGACAGACGCTCTCATGTCCAGCTGTGCCCCTGCCGAGGGTCCTGCTCTCATGGTGCTCTAAGTCCATGTTAAAGTTTTAATGTATTTTTCATGTATGTATGTTTATGTATGTATATATTTTATATGTGTATGTTTAACTTTTTAAGAAATTGCCACAAACTATTTTCCAAAGTGATTGCACCACTTTACAATCCCACCAGCTGTGTATAGGAGTTCCAGTTCCTCCACTTCCTCGTCAACACTTGGTTTGGTCAGCCTTTTTACTGTTAGCCATTCTAATGGGTTGGTAACAGTACAGCATTGTGTTTGAATTTGCATTTCCCAAATGACTAATGATGTTGGACATCTTTTTAAGTACCATCCATGTATCCTCGTTGGTGAAATATCTGTTGAAATCTTTTGTCCATTTTTTAAATGGGTTGTTCAGTTTATCATTATTAAGTGTTGAGAGTTCATTACATATGCTGGATACAAGTCCTGTATACTTTGCAAATAATCTCCCAGTCTCTGCCTTTTCTTTTCATTCTATTAACAGTGTATTTCCAAGAGCAAAAGTTTTTAATTTTCATAAATCCCAATTTACCATTTTTCCCTTTAATTGAATGTGCTTATGGTTTCATATTTAAGCAATCTTTCCTAAGCCAAGGTCATAAAAGTTTTCTCCTAGATTTTCTTCTAGAATTTTCATAGCTTTAAGATTTACATTTAGGTCTATGAATTAGTATTTGTATGTGGTGCAAGGTATGAAGTTCATCCTTTTGTACATGGTTGTCCAATTGTTCCAGTACCATTTATTGAACAGGCTATCCTTTCTCCATTGACTCGTCAGTGCACCTACACAGGTGATTGTACCATCTGCAAAAAAAACATAGTTTCAGTTCTCCCTTTCCAATCCGAGTGCCTTTTATTTCTTTTTCTTGTCTAATTGCACTGACGAGAGCATCAGATACAATGTCAAATAAAAGTGGTGAGAGTGGACATCCTTGTCTTGTTCTTCATCTTATGACAAAAGCATTGAGTCTTTTACCATTAAGTATATCTGCTGTAGGTTTTTTGTTGATGTCCTTTTTCAAATTAAGGAAGTTCTCTTCTATTCCCACTTGGCTGAGAGTTTTTATCAGTAATGGATGTTGGATTTTGTCAAATGAATTTTCTGTATCTATTAAGGTATCACATGACTTTTTTTTAGTTTGTTAATATGATGAATTATGTTGATAGATTTTCAAATCTTAAACCAATCTTGCATTCTTGGAATCACAATTGGTCATGGTATATTATCCTTTTTATGTATTGTAAGATTCAATTTGCTAAAATTTTGTTTAGAATTTTTCATCTTATTCATGAAGGATATTGGTCTGCCATTTTCTTTTCTTATAATGTCTTTTTTTTT